CTAGACTTGTGCGCCGTCAAAAAATTTGTTCTGTTTCGTTTCGGAATATCCGTTATTTTGTATTTCGTAATTCGTAACTGAACTCAATTCGGATTCGTACGAAATACGAATTTTCGTTAGTGGCGGTTATATTTTTGTAACTTTACGAACATTCGTTATGATGAAGTTAAAAAGCAAAATACCTTTGTTAATATTGGAGTCTATGTGGTAGTTGTTTTTTTTATCTGAAATACGAATTCCGTACCGAATTTCGTATTTCGTATTAAAAAAAAACTACCATCAATCAACTCCAATATATTAACAAAGGTATTTTGCTTTTTAACTTCAATATAACGAATGTTCGTAACTGAACGAAAATATGTCAACGGAATTTCGTATTTCCTGCCTGTGTATTGTAATGCAACTCTCAGCAGCAGAATAGAACCTCTGATTGGTCAACCAAAACGAAATATGAATTCTGTTAACGGATTCCGTATTCCGAATTCCTTATTTCGGACTTTAAAAAAAACTACCATCAACTCCAATATAAATGTACTTTGCTTTTTACCTTCAATATAACGAATGTTCGTAATGGAACGAAAATACGTCAACGGAATTTCGTATTTCCTGCCTGTGTGTGTAACTGTGTATTGTAATGCATCAGCAGCAGCGGATCCGTATCTCGGATGAAAAAAAAATCTTGTCATGCTGTTCAACCTCATTTACAGTAATATTAGTTCCTGTTTCAAAGAAATTCGGATCCGAAATTCGTTAATGGAATTTCGTATTTCGGATATAATTCGGAAACTGCCATTCGGATTTCGGATGCTCCGAAATTCGGAATTTCAGGAAATTCGTACGAATTTCGATTCGTAACGAAATGAATCGCACATGTCTAATATATGCGCCAACTTGGCGTTAGGGCCACGCGATGAGCTGGCGCATATATGTATTATGGTGGTGTAATGCATATGGCTGTGCTAATAGCTTTCTTGTACCGCATTAAGGTAAGTGGGCTTACTGTTTTTTTCACTGGCAAATAGTATTTAGATTTATGTAGACGTGTGCGATTCGTTTCGTTCCGAATTGAAATTCCGAATTACAGTTATAACGAATGCAAACTAATCCGAATCCCTAAACAAATTCAATTTCGGACCTAAATACCGAAAAATGAAATAACGCAAATTCGGAATCGAAACTAAACAAATTTTTTGCTGGTGCACATGTCTAGATTTATTTATTTATTTATTTTTTTGGCTGAACACATTTCTATGCATTACTGTCTGGGGTGTAACGATGCATGGTAGGTCCCCATAGCAAAATTGTTATGGGTCCCCATGCTCTTAACTCTTTTCCCTTAAAGCCCATTTCCACCTTTGCAGAGGTATTTAACAAAAAACATATGACAGCAATGTACACCGAGTTTACATGAAGCAGACGTGTGTGGATGCTGTGTCAACGGCAAATGAGATATCAGAGAACAGGGCTGGATATAACCCAGAGAGCAGAGCAACAAGAGGGGAGCCAGGAGACACAGATAAGGGGTAAGGGTCAGGGGTCAGGTACAAGGCAAGAACAGGCTACAGGAACAAGTTATGGCGACAATACTGTGGCACAGACCTCACTGCAGGGAGAGGTTAAATACCCTCCCAGATCAGCATCAGGTGCTGACTAATTGCTGAGACACCCGCAGGTGAGCACTGGAACTGCAGGACCTGGTTCCAGCGTCACAGTACCACCTGGAGGCGCTCAGGCCCCCGCCAGCCACTGGCTACCTGGAAACACTTTTGGCTAAACGCCAAAAGTGCCATTTTTGTGCCGATACATCGGCGCATTCCCTGCGCGGGCCGAGCGCTGCGGGAGGAGATCGCTGTGAGCGGCCGGTGTCACTCCTCCCACACCGCTCGGCCGCCTATCACAGTGCGGCAGAGCGGTGTGGGGGCGGAGACAGCGCTATCACAGGAGACAGCGCTATCACAGCGTGTCAGAGAGGAGAGCGGGTACAAGCAGTCGGTGATCGCAGAGTATTTGTAAATAATTGAGGACATAGTATGTTGGCTATATCCTCAATTATGAATGAATGGGAAGTGCTCTACATCACTTCCTGTTCATTCATAGTTGTAGTTATAGTAATCATACTATGTTCTCAAGTTATGAATGATCAGGAACACTCAGTATAGAGGATTCCTGGTCATTGATAACAGGCGATACAGAAAAAGAGAAGGAGGACTTTGTGTCCTCCATCTCTTTTTTTATTTTAAAAGGGAAATATCAGGGGTCCAATATTTCCCCGAAGCCTCTAAAAGTAAAGAAAAAATTAAAATATTTAATAAAACAATGAATGAATAAATAAATATAAAAAAAT